GTGTGTGTATAGGTGTGTGCATGTGTCAGTGTGGTGTGTGGGTATGTCCTTGTGAGTGTCAGTGTGGTGTGTGAGTGTGTGCGCGTGTTCTTTCTCAGCACAGGATCAGAGGTCTCGGCAGCCATTGGCATTGGACACGACGATGCCAGGTGGCACAGAAAGCAGAGCCTGCCAGCTTACATGTGGCTCCTGTTTTCTGCTCCAGAAGAATAACTGGGTTTGGACTGGCAAGAAGGAAATCCATTTGGCTAAGAGAGGGCGGAGCTCGTCAGAGAACACCCGGCCGCCCTGCAGAAGTTGGGGTCGGTCGCCAGCTTCGGGGGAGCTCAACCCCGGGGCCCAGGTGTGATCGCTAAGCCTGGGAAAGGAAGATTCCCAGGACCCGAGACTTGGGAAGGGCAGACGTTGTCCTCATAAACCCGACCTCACGGCCTGGCAAAATTCTAGGGTCTATTATTGAAGGGTTGGTTCATGAACAGCTAGAGGGACCAGGCTAAGTCCCACTGGACAGAGCCCGTCTCTTTGTGGACAGGGTCATGAGGCCAGCGGCCAAGAGGTTTGATTGCTGCAGGAGTCATTTACCTAGATTTTAGGCTGTGATGTGGAGGAGTAGCGGGCCAGGTCCATGAGTCAATCAACAAACATTCCTTACCTCTCACACTACCAGGCCTGTGACCCTGACTTGGCTTCCCTAAGCCTCAGTTTTAACTTGGCCTTGATTTCTAAAGAAAGCACTGGGTTCTCATAGGGCCAGAGATGGGAGGCGGGCCCTGGGTGAGGAACAGAGGGAGCCCAGTCTGGTGGGCAGGGGCCAGGGTGAGTTTGCCTTTCATGTGACAGTCAGTGGGGCGGGAGCCGCTGGAGGGAGCGATGTGGTCAGATGTGTGGCAGACCGGACTTGGGCAAGGGAGGTTCCAGGAGAGGTGACGTGGCCTGGCCGTGGGTGGTGCGGCCACTCGGTACTGCGGGAGCTTCTCTGGACTACAGATCATCTACATTGGTGCAGGGCGTTTCTAAAGCTCAACCCCAAACCAGTCTTCTCCATGCAGGACAAGAACGTGACCTGCCAGTCCAGCAGATCTCTGGTCCCAGGGCTGCGCTTGGACAGACAGACACACATCTCCACCCCCGAGAAGACGAGCACTCAGGCTTCCATGAGAGCGCTCGGTCTTGTGCTTCCAAACAGGCTGAAGGCCGAGGTCTGGGACGGGAAGGCTCTCTGCCGCTCGGCGGGGCCCCGGGCAGGGTCTCCTGCAGCCCAGGGCCTGGCCGTCGGCTCTCCCTCCTTGTTTCCAGACTGGCACGGTGGGCCAGGCCTACCAAGAGGCTCACAAGAGGTGGGCAACCTGGGATCCTGGCTCAGCTGAGACCAGCAGGGTGACCTCGGGCACGCCCATGCCTTCTCTGGGCTTCCTCAGTCGTCTCATCTGTAAAATGAGGGCTTGAAAACAGAAGGCTGGGCCAGGTCCTTTCTTCTGACCTTTGGGGGCCATCCTCCTCTCTGCCGCAGATGCCACCTCCGCCTGGGCACCTGTGCGGGCCCGGCTCATCCTCAGCCCTGCCTTGTTGTCTCCAGGCTGGCTCGGAATCCCTCAGCGAAGGCCTTTCCCAACGCTATCCTGGTTCTCGCCGCCCCTCCCCCCACTTGGCATTTCCTTGGCCAGGAGAATGCAAACTCTCGGAGGGCAGGGCAGCGGTGCTTTCTTCATGTGGGTAAGCCCTCTCTATGTCTCATACAAGCCTCGCACAGAGGAGGCTCTTAACGCTTGTTGGCTGGTCCAAAGCCTTTCTGGCCTCTGACGGCGCTCTGGGAGACCTGGGGGAGGGCAACGTGTCAGGTCTATAGGGTTCAGATCATAGGTTCCCAAAGTGGGCAATACTGCCCCCTGGGGGGGCACTGGACCGATCCAGGGGGTGGTAGTAGCCTCGGAGCAACTGAGGGGCATTGAATAAAAATAAGGAAGCATAAGGAAAGAAAAGAATTTTGAAAAACCCTTCCTATGTGTTTCATCTGTTGTGTAACACAGTCAAAGTCGTACCAGTTACATTATTCTCCAAATAAACACACAAAATGCAAGTTCTCCAGATCTGTGGTCAAATCTGCCGACAGGTCTTAAAAAGCAAGTGTTGGCAGGTGGGGGGGGGAGGTCCAGCATACATTGGCAGGAATATGTGTGTTTAACAACTTGTTTACGATACAATACTATACAGTTACACGACGCAATATTGTGTCATCAAAATTCCAATGCAGGAAAAATCCCCACAAATTTACAATAAATTAAATTTAAGGTGCATCATTTAAAAAAAATATGTACTTTGTATTTTTTCGAAATGATGCAAATTTTAAAAAAAATTAAAGGGTTAAAGAAAGTAGATTTCCAGGGAGGGGGCACTGAGTAATTATTTTTTTTTTGAAAAGGGGACAGTAGGCCAAATAAGTTTGGGAAGTTCTGGATTAGATAAATGTCTGTGAGCTAGCCTGGGCAACCATGAATGGCGCTGCTGCTTCACCATCTCCCGTGGGAGCTTTGGGCGGGGCTGAAAGGTCTGCTTAGCCCCTGGCCCCTGGGATGCCCTAGAAACACCGAGTGAGCTCAGTCCCTGTGCAGAGAGGCCAGGCCCTGGCTACGCAGGACGGAGGACTGAGGAGGATGGAGCTGGACCTTAACCACACTGCAGGACCCAGGAGTCAAGGCCCAAGGGATGTTGGGACCCACGAAACCTGAAGTTTCCACAGTCGTTTCTCTTGCCAACGATAAGCCCGTCTGCAGAGGAAGAGTCGGGAGCAGTCTCCATGCCCAAGACATGCAGGGTCGGTGGAGATTTTCTCAGAAATCTAGATGATAAATCTAGACAGAGATGTTCTCAAAAACAAGACTTTATTTAAAACAAACGAGCAAACATCATCAGCCCTTAAAAAACGGCCACACCAACTCCTCAGCCCCGAAATCTCCTCTAAAGGGGAGGCTACACTACATTGTGTGCCGCCCCCCGCCCAGGAGAAAGGCCCGGGGGGTTCTGGGGTAAAGGTCTATTTACCAGGAGCTTACAAAGCCCCACCAAGCCCATCCCAGCAAGTGCTCCACTCTGGCCCCCACCCTGGGGGTCCAAGCTGACCCCATCCCCCCCACCACCTTAAGGCACAGCCCCACTGACACTGTCTCCAGGGTCGGGCCTGCTGCCCAGCCTGGCCCTCTCCTATGGGTGACTCAGCATTCCAGGCTCCCCAGCTGGCCCAAGGGTGCTGAGACCCTCCTCACAAGCCAGACGGTCACTGCTCCGGCTGGGGACGAGCTCCCCTGGGCCTGCCCCGCAAAGGCTGATGCCGCCTGTGGCCGCCTGGCCTGGGCCCCTCCCTTCTTGCCCAATGCTCAGAGAGGAGGCGGGCCGGCTTGTCCTCTCTGCTCTCACCCCTCCCCCCTTACAGGGTAACCAGACATGACCAGCAAGAGGCTGTGTGCAGAGGCAGCAGGCACTGCCAGGCTTCATTTCCAGGGGCAACAGACAGAGGGAAGGTTTGGGAGCAATGCTCCTGGCGGGCTTTCACTTTGAGGGCTCTAAGAACTCGGATGTGAACACGGCCTCGGCATAATCCTCGCACACGTCCTGGAGCTCGGCTGCCACGTCCTCCAGGGCCTCCTCGACCAGCTCTTCTGCCAGGCTGCAGGGGACACGGCAGGGTCAGGAGCGAGGCCCTCTTCCCCGCCCCCACCTGGCAGCGCACAAAGCAGGTGGGGAGCCCCACTGAGAGCTGTGACGGCCGTGGGCCACATCTGCATACACAAGTGACTCATCCCAGGAATCCTGCCCCTCCCCCGCCCCCCCTCACAAACACATTTAAAATCTCTCTTCACAGACAGGCGACTGACACACGATTTTCAGGCCCACACCCGGATGCCCATCAGTCCATCTGGGATGGAGTGGTCACTGTGGGGCAGAGTCCCCTCATGATGGGGCCACGTCAGGTCCCCCCCACCCCTGAGGCGTGCAGCGTCGAGGCCCGCGCCCTGGCCACTGACCTCTCCACTATAATCCACGGGTTGAAAGTGCCGATGGATTCATGAGAAATTGTCCGGAGGTACTGCTGGTAGCTGTCCTGGTAATCGCTGAGGTTCCGGAGCATCTCCCGAGGCACGGACAGGAGGATGCCGCCCTCTGGCTGCTGAGGGGCTGCTGAAGACACAGGCCCAAGGGGGGCCCTTTTCTCCCCTCTTTCCTCCATGTCCACACTTTCATCAAAATACCTGGAAAGCCACCAGAAAAGATTGCAGCTGGAATTCGCTCCCTGGACCACCAAGGCCTGGGCACAGACCCGGATGGCCCCAAGAGGACCCTCCCATCTTTGGTCCCCACTCACTTCTCATCCAGAGGTTTTTCAAGCAAAATGTTGACTTCGGGCTCTCTGCTCGCTGCCCTCTTGGTGAGCTGGATGGGGTGAGGAGGCCTTGGCCTTTCATCTACTGCTGGGCCTTCTCCGTCTGCAGGAGGACGACAAGGAAAGGGTGGGCCCATTAACTCAGGTGACGGCCCACCCTGGCTTGCAGAGCCCTGTGGGAAATCCAACTGGAGATTTCCGATAAACCAAAGGAGTGACGTGGGTTAGCAGTTTAATGCCAGCGTCCCCTCGTTCCCCCCACTCCCTTCTTGCCAGGGTCACCCATCCCGACCCCTATGCCTCTTGTCTCTCATCTTCAGGCCTCCTCTAGCACAAACACGCCCGAGCCACTCAGGGGAGACCCTCCCATCCGCCCCTCAGGCCCCCACCCCAAACCCCCCCCTTGCTCACCAAACTCACTCCCAGAAAGCGCTCTCTCCAGGCACCGCCTGCCTCCCTTCTAGCCCTCCGCCCTCCTCGTGGCCTTCTGCTCCCCCGCCCTCCTCACCCTCCTCCAGCTGCCTGGCTGGTGCAGCAGCCCCTTAGGATGGAGAAGTAAAGAGCTTCCCAGGGTAAGGAGGTCGGAACAGGAGGAGATTCTGGGAGGGTCTGGAAAACGGACCCAGCAGGCCTGACTGCAGCAAAGGGAAGGGATTGAGCACGGTGGGCCAGCATTGAGCCAAGACTGCGGGGAGCTGTCCCGCTCCGCTTTGCCACCTCTGGGGGCTGAGGGCGCCCTTCCTGCCTCTTCTGCCCCGGCCCGTCTTCCCTCCAGGCACAACTCCAGCATCAGCCAGGCTATCCCGTCAACTCCTCGAGGCAGAGATGGAGTCATTTCTGTCTTTGTCTCCCAGAGCCCAGCACAGGGCCTGGAACACAGTAGGTGCCTAATAAATGCTCACTTGCTTGGTAACTTTCATTTTCAGTTGGCTTGGATGATCCGCTGGAGAACCGCCATCCCCCTCCACCGGGCCCAACGTGATTGCCGGTCCGCGGCTGGTGCTGGCTGCCGGGAGACCCTGCACGCCGGATCCCCGGGGGGCCAAGGCCACAGGAGGCAGCACAGGCGGCCTGAGGGAGTCGGGGCACACCCAAAGCATTCACCAGGAAGGGGAAGCAGTGGCCTGGTTCTGACTGCCCCTCCTCGGGGGAGACAGCCCCATGCAGCGGCAGCAGCAGCAGCAGCGACTCCTCTGAGGACAGGATGCCCTCCCCCATCCCAGTTCCACCAGCCACAGGACTGCAGGCATCCTCTGGAGGTCCACTCTGAACCTCAGGCTCCTTCTTTGGACTGCTCCTCTTTGAGTATCATGGGCCAATTTGTTCTTCTGGTTACACCCTCTCACGGAGGAGGGCAAAGTCAAATGACCATTGCTGACCCGGTGCCCATCCCCGGGTCGGCTGGAGGTCCTCTCCTGGACTCATCCATCCTTCATCTCCCAGGCACCAAAGGGCTGGGCCTGCATGGCCTCTCCCCCTCACGGCAACGAGAGGGACAGCGCCCCTCGTCCTTCAGAGCTTCCTTCCTTCTGACTCCCATCCAGAAAGACGGCCCTTGACAGGCACAAGGCCCGCCTCATCACAGAGGCAGCATGGGGAGCGTAGCCAAGAAACCACAGTGCAAAGTCACGTGCACCCAGGAAGGGAAAAGGAGGCGCTACTCACTGCTTCTCCCCCTTGTGGTCCCAAAACCGAGATCAGCGTAGACCATCTGACTGAATCTCTGCCGGACGGCCTCCTGGTATTGCTGAGGACGAGCAGATGAACAGCGAGCGTTCATGACCCGACAGCAAGGAGCAGCCCTTCCCCACCAGAGAGAGACAGACAAGGGAGAACAAGAGGATGCCGACCGGGGCTTTGAACCAGACTGAGGAAGGAGAAAAACTGCCAAGCAATGACCGCGAGGGGCAGAAGCTGCGGGGAAAAAACCAAACCCAAACCAGCCAGCTGGTCACGCAGACAGACATCTGGCCAGGCGGTCAGACAGACAGACAGATACCTGGCCAGGCGGTCAGACAGACAGACAGATACCTGGCCAGCCGGTCAGACACACACACACTCGGCCAGCCAGGCAGACAGACAGACATCCTGCCAGCTGATCAGATAGACACACACCCAGCCAGCTGGTTAAACAGACAGACACCCGGACAGCCGGTCAGACAGACACTCACCCTGCCAGCTGGTCAGACAGACAGCCAGATACCTGGCCAGCTGGTCGGACAGACACACACCCAGCCAGCTGGTCAGACAGACAAACACCTGGCCAGCCATTTGGACAGACAGACAAACCGGCCAGCCACCAAAAGTTTACAAAAACCCCAAAAAGCTCCTGGCTCTGACCAGAACATCCCCTGTTCCCCTCCAGGTCAGACCAACATGCTTCTGGGGGCAGACAGTGTTTCCCAGGCATGACCTCACTTGACCCTCACAATGACCCTGTGATGTGGGAGCTTCATGTAGCTTTTCCCAGTTCAGAGGGACAGGAGGGTCCAGGGGCTCAGTGCAGGGCACACTGAAGGCCACATGGAGACTAGGCCCTAAAGACTCTGACAAGGGAGACAGCCTCAATTCGAACCCAGATCCTTGGCCCATAGGGGCCCCACAGCACACCCTCTCAATTGGAGAGGGTCACAGAAAGGCCCCAAAGCAAAGTGAGCTGCCTCGGTCAAGGCCAGGGCCTCCGACAGCTCCTCCTCAAAGTGCTGGGGCTAGGAGTTCGCCAGGACGCACAGCTGAGGACAGAACCATCTGGGGTGTGAGGAGTCACATCCTAGCCCCTCCCCCGCCCCTCCCTCGGGCGGGGCTCGGCACATACTTCTATCTCCTCCATGCGCTGCATCATGGTCCAAAGATGGGGGTTGTCCTCAGCCTCGGGCTGTGAGCCTAGGGCAGAGTCAGGGAGCTCCCTTCTGGGCAGGGCCTGTAAGGACAGAGGGGACACGCAGACTAGGTGGGCCTGGGGAGGTCTGGGTGGGGTGGAGGGTAGAAACTCCCTCTTCCCACACAGAATGGCACCTCCTCTACACCTCAAAAGCCTTCAGGGTTGGGCCTTCCTGAGGCCAGGCCAGTACTCTAACCACTATACTACACTGTCTCTACAAGCACAGAACATGAAACACTGTGCCTGCCTGTTGTCTACGGGGCTTTGGAGATGTTGCGTCACGGTGGTTTCCCTGACTTCAAGCCACCTGCCTGCCTCAACGGTTCACCCAAGCCGCTGACAAGACAAAGGAGTCACCTCAGCAGCATCTGAGTGAGCCCCCTCCCAAAGGCCGCCATCTGTCTCGCCACCCAGGTCTGTGCCCACCTGAGGAAGAGGGTCTAGCTACATTCTCTCCTTCAGTAAGACTGTGCCTAAGGGGCCTGAGATCAAGAGCTTACCAAGCTGGGACTTCCTGGTCCAGGTGACTCCTCTCCAGGAATGCTCCCCTGAGGGCCTGACCACTGGGCCAGGGGCCCAAGTCCTGCTACTCTCTCATTTTGTCTCGTGGTGACCCCACGAGCATCTCCAGTCACATATCTCTTAAAAGCCTTTTATGGCCCATCACCCATGACCATCCGCAGCTGCCTGCCCAGAGTCATCACCTGGCCCCACTCTCGCTGTCACACAATGTTCTCTGGCCTAGCCCCAGGTCATGGGGAGGCCTCGGGAGGAGGAGGAGACACCCTGGGGGTGAGAGGCTTCTCAGGGGTCTGTCGTTGTGCTCGGACTCCACCGCTTTCAAGTCAACAGGGATGGGTATTAAGTACCTACTATGAGCCAGGAACTGGGCTGGGCCACAGGGGACAAAAAGACAAAAGCAATAGTCCTTGCTCTCAGGGAGTTTATATTCTCCCACAGGAGAGGACTGGCACACTAGGAAGTGAGTGGGACAGAACATGAAGGGGCGATGGGGATGACTACCAGGAAAAGCCTCATGGAGAAGGCGGCCCCTGAGCATCTCAGGGTGCAGAGCTGAGCGTGGTGGAGGGGATGGATGGTGAGTGAGATGGCGAGGAAGGAAGGAGGGAAAGTCAGAGGGATGGAGGGATGGAGGGAGGGATGGACAGAGGGAGGGAGGGATGGAGGGATGGACAGAGGGACAGGGATGGAAGGATGGAGGGAAGGATGGACAGGAGGGAGGGACGGATAGAGGGATGGAGAGAGGGACAGAGAGAGGGACAGAGGGATGGACAGAGGGATGGAGGGAAGGAAGGACAGAGGGAGGGAGGGATGGAAAGAGAGATGGAGGGATGGACAGAGGGAGGGACAGAGGGATGGACAGAGGGATGGACAGAGGGACAGAGGGACGGAAAGAGGGGATGGACAAGAGAGATGGACAGAGGAACAGAGGGATGGAGGGTGGGAAGGTGAGGGGAGGTGGGTGGAGAGCCAGACACAGGCCGATGAGAAAGGGAGGGATGGACAGAAGGACAGAGGGAGGGAGGGACAGACAGAGGAATGGAGGGATGGAGAGAGGGACAGAGGGATGGGCAGAGGGAGGGAGGTGCACTAGAGATAGATGTAAATACAAAGGCCCTGGGGCATCAGGAGGGCCCTTTAGGTCAAGGCCTACAGCCCAGGGGAGGAGGGCAGGCATTCCTCCTCCTCCCTCTCTGACTCCTCTGCTGGCTCTCCTCTAGACCTCACCCTCTAATCCTATGGGTTCCTCAGGCTCTGTCCTGGGCCTCCTTCTCTACTCCCTCCAGACGCCGTCACCTGACATCAGCTGCTCCCATCTTTTTATTCTTCTGTCCCCAGACCCAGGAGTCTGAGCCCTGTCTGCCTTGGAGCCAGGCTGGCAGGTGGGCCATCCAGCGGGCAGGGCAGCGCAGCCAGCCCAGCATAGAAGCCCTGAGAAGCCAGGGGCCTGGACTTGGAGCTGGGACTGAGCTCTCTGGGAGCTGAGCTAAGCTAAGAACCAGAGACTGAATGAGGTGGTGCAGACAGATATAAGGATTACGCCTCTCATGTGTGGGGAGAGTAAGTGTGTATTTGTGACTGTGTTTGCGAAGTCAACGTTTCTATGTAAAAACGTTTACAAATATCACACAGCAATCTTAACTGCCATAGATAATGGAACTGTTAACTAAAAACAGGCTTGGAGGCAGCTAGGTGGTGCAATGGACAGAGAGGATCTGAGTTCAGATCCGGCCTCAGACACTTGACACTTACTAGCTGTGTGACCCTGGGCAAGCCACTTAACTCAAACTGCCTCACCAAAAAAAAAAACAAAAAAAAAAACAAAACACCAACCCAAAAAAACAGGCATGAATTAGTCAGCTGAAAGAGCCTTGGATCTGGAGCTCAAGATGCTGGGTTCAAACCTTGCCTCTGACTCGTGAGACTAATAGCTTTAGTTCCTGGTTACTGGCCAGCTCTTAATCCTGGGCACCTGGCTCTCAGGACACAGTTCAAGCCTAGTGACAGAATCAGTATTTTCTTTCAGCAGAGCCAGGAGGCACAGGACACATAGGCCACAGGGAGCCCCACAAAATGAACTGGCCACTGACGTGGGCATTAGTCATGAACTGGGGTCCGCATACAGCCAGAACGCCAACCTGGCCAAGCCAAGGTCCAAACTGATCAAAATCAGAATAAAAAGAAGAGACAGGACATGTAAGCGGAGGCCTCTCCAAACCGACTTATTTAAACAACCAGCTGAAGCAGAAAATGGAACAGACCCAGACATAGACTGTGGCCATTCTTTAGGGGTGTTCCAGCTTCCTTTCAGGCGTTTGCAGGACGGATAGATGCCGCCGCCAGTGTCAGACCTTGAAGGCCTAGCCGGGAGAGCATAGCCTTCCCCAGCAACGTTGGGGCCAACACCCCAGCCAGAGGAAGCCCGCCAGCAAAGCTAACACTCAAAGCACCTCACCATGGTACGTGACTGAAGGGTTTTTAGAAATAACCTGAGGAAAGCACCAGGTTATCCTGGATAACCCCAGTGGAGGGAGGGGGCGGGCAGGACAACACGGGCGGTTTTCATCCGAGAGTGCCCCCTCCCCCCAGGCCTTCCCATCAGCCCTAAGGCTGGGCCTGGCAGACACTTGGTTGGAAGGAGCCTCGGGCAGAATGTACTGCATGACTCGTAGGCAGATTCCTTTCCTCTGGGTACCAATGACAGGTGAGGAGTGCCAGGAGGTCTGAGCTTGAGGCTGGAGCTGAGCCACTGCCCTGCCTGCCCAGAGCCAGCTTCTACCACCTTCTCCACAGGTGACTTACCTTCTCTGGAGCCTGGGCCGCGGCTCTGTCTACAGAGAAATGATCCCTCAGAGGCGCATCGGCTTCCTACGAGGAGACAGAGGAGCCAGTGACCGGTGTGCTTGTCACACCCTGGGGGGGGGGAGGGAGCTGGCTGGCTGGCTGTCTCTGGGGAGGGGGCACAGCAGCCAATAGCAGCAGCGGGCATTTGGAGCACATGGAGCACAAAAGGCTCTCATCGACCCTGCCCAGAAGGCGCTCTCCCACTGAGACCAAGAGAGGTTGAGTGACTTGCCCGGGGTCACTCAGCGGTCAGGCAGAGGTCACAGAAGTTGTGGAGCAACTTCAGCTGACTAAGGACCCTCACTGAGGCCTCTCTCCTTGCAGGGTGAGACGACTGATTATTTGTATGACAGACAGAGGCCTCAGCACCTACAAGACCCCTCCCAAAATACAGAAATTGTAAGAGAGAAGGATTTCTGTTATGGTAAGGGCTTGATAATCCGATTCTCTCTGCTCTGCCCCTGCCCCTGGGGCAGGGGACCCCCATCACCTCCCACCTGGACTACTGCAATAGCTGCTGGGAGGGTCTGCCTACCCCAAGTCTCTCCTCCCTCTAATTCATCCCCCAGCCCTCAGCCATGGCACCCCGCACACACTCAGTAAACGCCAGAGGCTCCCCATCACTTCTCTGTTTGGCATTCAAAGCCCTTCACAAGCTGCTCCTCCTTTTCAGGTTTGTGCACCTTCCTCCCCCTCCCCTACTCTTCCATACAGTGCCCTCGGCCTCCTGTCTGTTCCACTAACTCAACACTCCACCTCTCAGTTCTGAGCCTTCTCTCCGGCCGTCCCCCTGCCCGGAACGCTCTCCCTCTTTCTCTCTGACTGCTGACCTCTCTGGTTTCCTCTGAATTCCTAACTAAAATCCCATCTTTTACTGGAAGCCGCCTTCCCACTGTTAATGGTTTCCTATATATCTCGTAGGTAGCTTGCTCTGTGTCTGCTTGCAGGTTGTCTCCCCGGGGTTATACTGTGAGCTCCCTGAGGGCAGGGGCTGTCTTTTGTCTCTTTCTGTATCCTCAGCACTTAGCACAGTGCCTGGAACACAACAGGCACTTACTAAATGTTGACTGATGGACTGACTCCCAGTCCCCCACTCTGTGCACTTTGTCCCCCGGCTCCCCGGACCCAGCTGGAACTCTAGGCTCGGGAGGCAGGAAAGCCTGAGCTAAAATTCTGCCTCAGACACTCATTGCATGCATGATCATAATTGCTCTGCGCCTCAGTTTCCTCGTCTGTGAAACAGGAGTGCCAAGAGCAGTGCCTCCTTCCCAGATGCCACAGCCGGCACCTGTGGTGACCAAAGAGCCCTGGGCTAAATCCACGTGAGGCCATCTCCCACTGGCTCCCAACCCCCTGCTGTGCAGGTACAGGGTGGGGGCGGGTCAGTTAGGGGCAAGGCCGGACAGAGAAAGCCTATGATTGGGCCTGAGGGGAGGTCGCCCCAAAAGCAAACGGGCTCCCAGGGGGCACTGGGGGCCGCTCCAGGAAATGCGCCTCTCCACACGGGGACACTCAGAGAGGGAAGGGGGCTGGATGAAGGATGCCAGACCGCAAGAGTGGCCCCAAGGGCCCCTCCTTGAGCCCCAAGTCCTCCCGAGGCCGGGAACCCAGACGGGCCCAGCCTCCCATACGGAAGACGGCAGATGCGGCCTGCAGTCTCCAGAGACCCAGGGAAGGTCACCAGGCCCTCAGCGATACGTGCAGCCAGGAGACATTACCTTCACTTGGTCCAAAAGGGGCTTCAGACGCTCCAGAACCGCCTTCTCCACCTTGTCTGCCAACTTGGCTGTAGATGTGCTGGTCAGAAACAAAACCATTGGCTTTTCTCCCTTCCTTTGAATTCCCAGCACTTTGTATGGTGCCTGGCACACAGCAGGCGCTCAATAAATACTTGGTGACTGACCGTAAAATGGGAAACAAAGCCACTGCGAAGCGGCCTTCAGTTCAGAGTGGGTCGAGTTGCCCCCAAATCATCCGTAAGTTCCCAAGATTCAAGGGGGGAGAGGGAGAACAAGCATTTATACTGTGCCTACTACATGCCCAGGCACTGGGCTTTACAGATACTAGCTTTTGGATCCTCATAATAGCCCTGAGAAAAAGGTGCTATTATGATTTCCACTTTACAGACAAGGAAACCGAGGTGGACAGGGGGTAAGTGACCTGCCCAGAGCCACCCCGCTATGGACTAGAACTCAGGAGTTCCCCACTCCAGGCTTGGCGCTCTGCAACTGGGCCATTTCGCTTTAGCCTCATTCACCAGGGACAGCGCCCCAGCGCACTTAGTGGGTGGCAGCAGCCAGAGTCCAACCAGGCGAGGCAGCTGAGGGCTGCCCGGGGAGCCAGGAGGCTTATCAGGCCCCGGGAGCCGGCCTGGCAGCCCCCACCCCCCATGCTGCCCCAGGAGTACAAACAGGCACGCTGCAAATCGACTTAACTAACCCCCTTCAAGGCCTGTCCAGGTAAAACTCTGCCATCTGTAATCCACTGTCTGGGGAGGCATGAATGGGCGGTGTGTAAGGGCCCATGTTACAGGTTATTATGCAATAATTAGATATTGCTGTAATGATATGTAACATACGCACCCACGCACACCCCTCTGGACGTTGGATTCAGAAAAGAATATGTTCATATGTGAGTGTGAGTGTGACTCTGCATATCACATGTGTGTGTCAACATGGATGAGTGTGCATGTGCATGTGCAGGTGCGCACACATGTGCACGCGAGTGCCATGTATGTTTGTGAGCACACATACTACATACATGTGGGTGCGTGTGGGAGTGCGTGTGTACACATGTGCATGTCTACATATGAGTGTGTGCATCTGTGCATGAGTGTGCACATGTAATGTGAAGGTGCCTGTGTGTGCATGTGTGTGAGTGTATGGGCACATGTGTGGGAGCGTGCATGCACGTGAGTACACTGTGTGAGTGCATGTGTACACGTGTGAGTGTGTCTACATATGAGTGTGCGTGCATCTGTGTGTGTGCGTGTGCATATGTACTGTGAAGGAGTCTGTATGCACGTGTGTGGATATATGAGCATGCACACACGAGTACACTGTGTGAGTGTGTGCACGTGCATGTGGGGGGTGTGCGCACGCCCCTCCTCCCCCCACGCTCCCTCACCTCAGCCTCTGGATGTCAGCCAGCTCCTTCAGCCTCCGGGCACTCTCGGCATCTAGCCAGGCGAGCCTGAGAGAGGAGACCGGGGCATCCATCAGTGCCCAGGCTGTCCGCCAGGCCGTCCCTCCGCCCCCTCCTCACGGTGATGGGTCCTTGCTCTCGGAGGGCCCCAGGACAGCCCCCCCCCCCACCATCCAGATCTACGTGGGAAACTGAGGCCCAGAGACTGCACCATCCTACTGGCAGGGCCAGGAATGGGGGAGGGGCTGGGGCTGGGCCAGACTTGCCCAAGGCCCCCCAAGGAGAAAGCCAGCTATGACCTCCACCAACGCCCCATGGAGTCGTGGCCCCTGGGGGTCCCTAGGGAGCTTCCCGTGCCCAGCTTCCCCATTCACCTCGTCTGCAGCGAGGGTACCAGGGGCGTCTGAAGGCAGCTCCTTCGCTTTCCCCTCCTTTGGGGCTGGGGCCCCCCTACCCTGGTCTTTGGACGGTGCCAGGCCAGCTGCCTATACAGAAGAAGAGTTTGAGAGGCCTATCCTGGGGGGCCCGTGCACAGACGGGGGCTGCTGGTGCCAACCTGAGGGCCTCGTGCTCCATGGGGTCCGTGTGGGCTCCTTCCTCCTCGACTGCCTCCTGCTGCGGAGATGGTTCCCTTTTGGCATCTTTGGGGCTGGCGCTCCCCTTGCCCCAAGCGATGCTGCGAGAGCAGAAAGACAGGCCTCGATTACCATCCCCACCCCCCGTCCCAGAACTCAGCAGAGCCGCCATCTCGAGAGACTGCGGCGAGGCAGCTCACGGCCCCCGGGGAGGAAGCACTGACAGGATGCTGTGCCAAAGGTGCCGTGGTGCTAGCACAGCCACCGGCACTAACAGCGCCTCTCAAGGCCTGCGCCTGCTGGGACACAAAGCTGCCTTCTCCGCCTGGGAGAGCCTGAGATCGGAAGGGGCCGCGACGTGGGTCCTGCATGGACGGACACATGCACAGTGGCTCAGGGCTCTCCCGGGGCCTGGGGACGCAGCCGGTTCCCCCTCCTCAGACACTCCAGGGGGCTCCAAGCCCCTCTGCACCTACCATTTAGGGGTGGCTGGCGGGGAGGTGGGGTTGGGAGGGATCCACGGTGCACGGCAGTCCTTCGCGGGGGGCTGGTTCCTCTTCAATCTGAATGACACGGTCGTCCTTTGGAACCTGTGGTCCTTGGCCTGCGCCTGGTGGGGTCTCAGCCTTTCCGCTTTATGGAAACCCTGCAGGGAACTCTGACCCGTTACTCCATGGCAGCCCCTCTCCCCACTCCCCCCGTGTCCCCCAGGCCTTGGGCTAGGCCAGGAGTCTGAGGGCAGGGCAGGCTCTCTCCCAAGGCCTGCAGGGGTGTGCATGCGTGTGAGTGTGCATGTGCGTGTGTGTGGGGAGGGGGAACACGACAGGACACGCATGCACACACAGATGCACACACACACACACACACACACACACACACACCCCTAGGTGACTTCCATTGTCACCAGGCTCCAGAAAAGAAGAGCCTGAGCTCTAAAGCCCATGTCCTCAGCCGCTCACATCCAAGTGAATCCCAGAGCCTTCACTTATTCAGTCCCTCCCATGTGCCAGGCACTGTGTTTGGAGCTAACACACAGAGGAGGAGATACCAGGTGACTGGAGGACAGTCAGGAACATCAGGAAGGAGCATCAGAGGAGGCAGCAGGGAGGAAAGCCTGGCGGTGAGAGGGCACAGCCTGTGCAAAGGCCTGGAGGTGGGAGAGGGAGGGCCATATGGCTGACCACAGAGGGTGTGGGGAGGGGACGTGGGAGCCAGACTGATGCCATCTGATGCCAGGTTCTCCTTTATCCTATTAACAGAGGGGGCCAGGGATACTTCCCAAGAGAACAATTCTGCCCGCTATGTGGAAGTGGCATCAGAAAAGAGACTGGGATCCCAGAGGCCCCCAGAAGGCTACTGACATTTTCCAGGCCTGTGTGAGAGGCACAAGCAACCAAGGCAGGATCGATCAGACTAGTCTGAAGGAGAAATGGGCCTGCAAGGGGAGTCCCAGCAGGAAGAAAAGAGAGCGTGAGATGTTTACGGGACATGATGGAGTTGTCCAATAGGCAGCAGCAGATGCAGCGGGACCAGGCCCAGAGAGTTGGGGTTATCTGCAGGGAGATGGCAGACACCATGAATGGTGAGATGAAAGACAGCGAGACAGAGCAAAGGTGGGGGGGGGAGAGGAGGGGAGAGAGAAGGAGAGAGAGACAGATGGTCTGACAGAGACAGAGAGAGAAAGAGAGAAAGATAGATAGAGACAGAGAGAGAGATAGAGGGACTGACAGAGAAAGAGACAGAGAGAGGGAGACATAGAGGGTGTGACAGAGACAGAGAGACAGAGACAGAGAAAGACAGACAGAGACACACAGAGACAGAGAGACAGGGACTGACAGAGATAGAGAGAGACACAGAAAGAGAGAGACAGAGAGAGAGAGAGACAGACAGCAAGAGACAGCCGGAGGAAGACAGAGGGAGACAGAGACAGAGTCTAGAGAAAGAAAAGGGCCCAAGTCAGAGCCATGGGAGATGCCCATGGATCCTGACCCACCAAAGGGCAAGGTGGAGAGCTGGGAGCGGGGACGGAGGTCCAATGCTCTGGAGGGACTGGCTGGGGACCAGAAGCCGGCCTTCCTCAACAGGGGCCAGAACGGGGGGTGCCGGCAGCTGGTTCTGGGCATTTGAGGGAGGAAGGGAAGAGAGACAGAGGTGGTACCTGAGGGGACAGGAGGGTCACCTGAAGGATTCTCAGGAGTGGGCTGCGGGAGGGGGGAGCCAGGGAGAGAAGAGAGGTTGCCAAATCAGGAGGGAAGAGAGGGGAACAAGGGGGGCCCCTTCCCCCATGTGTGCTGGGGTGCTCCGGGCAAGAAGGGCCCTCTCTCTACCACAGACTGAAGGGAGAGAATGGGAGGCAGGGGAGAGGCTGAGGGGCTCAGAAGGAATAGAAGAGGAGAAGAAAGGAAGCCCGTGACAAATGGCCTCTGTCTTTCTCTATAGAAATAGAAGGGGGGGGGAGGGTCATGCGCTGAGAGGAACAGTGCAGGAGGAAGAGCTGGGGGAGTCTGTAATGGCCGCCACGGAGACGGGGGAGGAAACACTGTGCTCTGGGCCCACGTGTCGCCACGACTCCCTTAACTTCCAGTTCTCAGGGTCTTCTCGCCATCTCAACCTCCCCACAGCCACTGGCATGGCTCCTTTACGAGATCTCCGCCCAGGACGTTCCCCCATTAACCAGGGGGCTCCATGCTAGCGTGAAGGATGCTGATGAGGCTCAGATCTATAGATCCAACCCGAACCTCTCTCCTGGCCTGCAGTCTGCCCGCTGGCCATCCGGTTCCAGATGACACCGCACACGCCCCCGCCCTATCTCTGGGAGAAGCACCCTTCTCTTCTTGCACCTGAATACGTCTCCTTCTCTCACCGTGACCCCAGGAGATGCTCATCACACCTGACCCATTGCAGGGCCCTGCCCCTGCCTCACATCTCACCTCCCTCCTTCTAGGACACAAACCAGGGAGACGCACATTAGAAAAAGAAAGGATAGAGCCAGCAGCCTTACTGAACGAGATGCAGCCCTTTATATAAACCATCAGCAACTCCCAGGCTCTGTGTACCATGACAGATGAGGCTTTTACACCAAGAACGCAGGGCTGGCTTAAACTTAGGAGAGCTCATAATCAAACGAGGAACAGAGGATCAGAGAAGACAAAACGAATCATTCTGATGACATAAAAATGAAACAAACAAACCCAATAAAATTGGGAGATTGAAAAAGAAACAATGAACTGAGGAGAGAGTCTGAGCAGCGAGTTTCTCTAGGAAAGAGAAGTCTCATTTTCAAGTTAGGTGAGGAACCGACTGAAATTTCCAGGAGAAAAGAGTCCTAGCTTAAGGGTATGAACGGGCAGTTTCCAAGGGAAGAAAGCGGGGTTCTGCGAAGGCAAGTGAAAGCAGTTCTGAGACCCCTCTTCCCACTCCTCAGAACAAGAGAGGTTGGAGAGGCTGTGGGCCCCACTGGGTCCAGCTGTTCTGAAGAGCGCACAGCCTTTGGCCAGCCCCCATGAAGCCTTTGCCCAAGAGAGACCAAAGAAAAAGCCGGAGCGCCGCAAGCCGCGAGCCTCCTACCCGAGGGCAGAAGCCGAAGGAAGGCGGCAGAAGCGGGAGAACTGCGCACGCCACGATGTCTACACAGCAATAACAAAGAACAATTTTAAGGACGTTCATACGAGGAGGAAAGAAGTAAGCAGAACCCGAAGAACAAGGTGCCCGCCAACACAACACCCCCGCGTAAAGCCAGAGGACGAACGGTGACAGAGGAATGAGCAGAGGGAGCCCTCATCCTCACCGTCCCTCTATGGTGCGAGAGACAGCCATGGCTCCTTCTTCACGCCAGCCCTCTCTGTGTGTGCGTGTGTGCGTGTGTGCATACGGGTGCATGCATATGTACGCATGTGGTGCTTTGTGCGTGTGTGTGTGCGTGTGCGCGCGCAGTGCAGCCCCCATGGGAAGAATGGTTTTGCTTGGCTCTGGATGTGGTTACAAAAGTGGTTTTTATTCTCCAGTGGCACAGGGGAGGAGAGGACGCGTGGGGATACCGATGGGGAATACTGAATGCTGCATCGCTAGTTTTACTTGGTTACAAGAGGAACGCCCGTCCCCTAAAAACAAAAGCCGTCGGGTGATGCCAACAGTGGCCTGGCCGCTGCTCGTCCCCAAAGCCAATCCTCTGCTCCCCTCAGACGCTCCCCGGGCTATTCCAGCACTGATTTCCAAACCTCTGCACACGTTGCCGCCTTCCCCAAGAAGCCCTCTCCCTGCTTCACTCCCACTCCGCACAGATCACGTCGCCAGGGGCCCTCTCACTGCTGTCTGCAGCCCCAACACCTTGGAGGCCGCCTGGCACACAGGAGGCACTTAATAAAGGCCAGAGCAGATGGTGTAGAAATGAAGCTGGCTCACGGAGGCCAGGCAGCCCCTTAAAAAGCAATGGGCTGTGAGAGGGGAAGGCAGAGGGAGCGACAGAGGGTTGTAGCCAGAAGGAGGCCCTGAGGGGGGACAGCACTAAGAGTGCGGGCCTGACCATTCCTGGGTGGCCGCCCGCCCCGTGAGATGGCTGGGCACAGAGGAAGCCAGGCGTGAGGTGGCATTGGCGAGGGTGTGAACGAGGTCCCTCAACCGACCCCCATTATGTTGCTCACCATCCTGCTGACGGCAGGTGACCTGAGATCCCAGACTGGAGCAGGGCTCAGAGCAGGGGGGCCCTCTGTCCCCACAAGCGAAGGGTTTCTACCCGCAGGCTTAATTCTGCTGTGGGGCACCCTCTCCGGTCTTAGGGGCATTGGGTACCACCTGTGGGCCCTGATCGCCCTGGCCCACCCCCAACAAGCTCACTGTCCCCTCCCCACCTGCCAATCCTAGGGAAGATGGTGCGACCCGCTGCAGAGGGCAGTGACTGCCCCCACACTGGAGCAGGCGCCCCCTGCACCTGACACACACGGGGGGAGAGGGGAGTGTTGGCCTGACTACGCAAAGTGATTACAAAGGTTTCCCTTTTTTGGGGGAGGGTGGAGATAGGAGGTGTGAGAGAGAAAATAAATGCTTGCTATTTGAAAAAATAAATAATACGCTGAGAGAAAAACGGTCTTGACCATCTACCTGGAAATGAATTCTGCCTGAGCAATCTCAGCCTCCAGGATTATTCTGGCTGACTTCCTCTGATAACTGGGACTTAGGAAAGACTCACGAGGTCCTGCCACCCCACAGGGGCAGATGCTCCTCACAAACACCGATGACATCCTTCAGCTCCCCGGCCTGCAGATCCCACTGAGTGAACCCGACAAGGTCAACAGGAGCGTCGGGGGGACCGGCAGGCTCAGGGGCCTTGACGTGGCCCTCTCCAAGTGCCCCAGTTCTGGGAGCCCCAAATACAGCCACCGCCCGACTCTGGACGCCTGTCCTGAACCCCGGGGCCAGTGCGTACTTGCTCTGCCTTCCCAGCCGTCTCAGCACCTCGCCTTCGGAGGGTCCCGGCAGCGGTGGGCAGCCGCTTTTTCACGGCTTCCACTTTCGTCGAGGCCGGCCCCGTTTTGAAAGCAACACTCTGGTCGGAGGCGAAGTCCTCTTCGGGCCGGCCCGACATCTGGCGCAGGGGACTCAGTGCAAAAGATGGGTGCTCATCTACCCAGAGGGTACAGAAGGAAACACAGGACAATCAGTCTGGAGGAAACACGGTGCCCGTGTCAGGCCAGGGCGCCCCCACCCTCCATCTCTTGGGATCAGCCCTCGAGGGAGCCCAAGAGGTGGGCTAGTCCACGACACTGCCTTCCCTTTACAGGGCCCCTCTGGCTCACAGCTATAGGCGCTACCTCCTTCCCCAGCCCCTCCCGAGGCCCACGTCTTGGGGCACGGAGCCTGGCCCTAGAGCTGGGGACCCACGGCTTCCGACCTAGCTGGCTGGGCTCCCCTCTGTGAGCCTTCATCTGCCAAGGGCTTCGACCCCACACCACCGAGGTCAGCCATGCCTCTGAGGCTCAGGCTGGCCTCCTCATGGCCTGCAGGACTTCCTGCCCTGAGGCCGGGGTCCCCAAGCTAGGGAGGCTGCCCCCCCCGAGCCCCCAACTTTGGCACCTGCTGCAGTTGGGCAGCACCTCCCTCACCAGGTCGGGTACTGGGTGCCCATTGTCCCAGGACCCACAGGTGGAGAGGAGGAATCTTAAAGCGCACCCCAAGCTCCCGGCCCCCGTTTTAGAGAGACCCAGATCAGAACGGCAGCTAACACCTCTAAAGTAAAGTCTGCCCAGGACAGAGCCTCAAGGGAAGGAAGCCCCGGGTGGCTCCTCTTTCCTGCTCCCTGAGGCCAGGCCTCCCCTCCCTAAGAACGGGGAGGCCCAAAGCAGCCCAGACAGCCGGCGGCCAAGCCAGGATTCAAATCAGCACCATGTCTCTTGATCAGTCAAGCTCCCTGAGCCTCAGTTTCCTCAACTGTAAAGTGAGGGGCTGGAGCCTCGAAGCGTTTTCCTTCCTTTCTGAGCTTGGGGTTCAGCAGCGCTGGGGCAGCAGCCCCCTCTTCTCCTGAGCTGCCTCTGGCCCGGTCTTCCTGGGCCAAGGAAGGGGAACCATCCTGCTAGCCTCTGGTCTTGGGGGAGGCCCCTGTCTCCCTGTGCTCTAGTCCCCCCCCCCACTGCCATCTGAGGGCTACGGGCACGCCCACACCATCAGGCATTGCTCACTAGGCCACAAGAAGCCAAGCGCTGGGGAGAGGAACACTGAGCTTGCATCCGCCTGCCTCTTTCTGCCTGTACTTGGTCACTGGAGGTCCCTCTCAATGGTCACTTTGGTCAGCTGGGCACCTGCTGACCCTCCCCAGGGAGGCTCACATATTATATTCCTGGACAGAGATGAATGGGGAACCTGGGTTTTCTGCTGATCTGGAGAATGGGCCTCAGGATCCTCTCCGGCCTGGTCCCCAGACTGCTTGGCTTCTGCCTCTTCTTCCTGATCCCTGAGGAAGCTCCCGACTTCCCGAGGCACGAGGCCCACACAGGTCCAGGGCTTTGCTGGGAGAGGTCTCTCTGGCCAGGCAAGGGAGGACCTTACCATATTAAGCTCTCCACTCCAGAGGAAGACTGTGCAGAAATCAAGCCAGAGGCCTTCCTCCCAGTCCCGTGTTACTGAAAGTAACTCCCAGAAGTCCATGAGGTTCTCGGACCATAATCTCAGCCAAACCCAGGGAGGGCTGCCTTCTTGAGAGCTTCCAGAAGCCCTCCAGGAGTAGCGCTCCTGAGACCAGCCAGCAAAACACCTACCCTCCAGGAGCTTTCTCACAACAGGCCGCCTCCCTTCCTGGGGAAGTTTCTCCTTTGCCACCAGGCGCTTCCTTTCTCTCACTGGTGATGTGCTAAAGGACCTCTCCAAGGCCACTGGGAAACTCAATGGAGACTGGCTTTGAACTCCAGGGAAGCGCTTCTTTGTCTTTCTAAGTGACTGTTTCCTTTCCAGGAGGGAATCTAGCTCCTGTCAGGAAACATGAAATTTATCTTATAAAGACTCAAGACACACTCAAGGGTCCAGAAAGTGACTGGCCCCTACGGCAGCCCCTGGCAGGGGATTCTTCAACTCATGAAAAAATTCTGTGAAATCAGTGAAAAGTCAATGTTATTCTCCAGCCATTAAACCCCCTCTTCACCATCTGCTTCCTAACAAGGATGCCCTTAAGCAACAGAAGGTGACAATTCTCAAAGACAAAAACTGACATCGAAATTTCAACCACCCCAAATTAGCACTTTATAGGAAGGATTTGTAACCAGCAGAAGCCTAGCCCCAGATAGGTGCATTTCAAAATCACATGACAATGCGCTGAATGACAGATGGTTAGGTCACCAGCCCCCTGCTCACCCACCGGCTTGGGGAGCTGTGTCCCATATCCCACATCATCAGGCTGGCACAAGGAGGGCTTCCCCAGAGAACCAGGGAACAACCCATAATACATGGCCCCACACAACCCAGAGGCTTCTGTGGCTGACGACAAATCACTACTATTGAGGTGATTGAGGGAGACAGACTACAGGCTTCTCCCAGATCTTCTCCAGTTCCATGACAAAAAAAAAAAATCCTCTACAATTAATTTTTGGAAAGATGACCCGTCTTCCCCTCAAGGTTCTGAGGAGTAATATTTCTCTGTACCTGTACACCGCCCCCAACACACACACATATACCTACACACACCCTGGGATTCACACACAAGCTGGAATGAAAGGCTACAGACAGACCAGAGTCCAAGAAATGCCTGGGAATCCATAAAGTACGGGCAGATTCAGAGTGAGGCCTCGAGCTTTCTGGCCAGCTTCCTGGTGGAGGTTTATGGAAATGGGGGGGGGGGAGCCAGATGCGGGGGCCCCGCAGCCTGTGGTCTAATGGAGGAACTCACTCATCCCCACCTGTCTGAGGGGCTCCACCAAAGCAGCCCACCTCCCTGACAGACGCTGGCCAGCCAGGCCTCTGCAGGGAGCACCCCAGGCCCACGTCCCCATCACCACAATCAGGACAGCCAGCTTAACAAGCCTTCCTTGAACAGCGGCCATGTGCTAGGCTGCCCTCAAGAAGCTTGCGTTCCATCAGCAGGGGCCAGAGCCAGAACAGAGCTGGGGCTCTCTCGAAGACACGCACCTGTCCCCCTTCCCCGTGGCCATACCTCTATCTGCTGCAAGAGATCGAGGACCACAACCGGGACAGAAGGATCCGTGTCCAGTCTGGCGGAGCAAATGGAAAGCTGCCGAATGAGATTGCCCAGCTCTCTGTAGCGCTCAGAAACCGCCTGCCCCGTCGAGTCTGTGAACTGATTGACAAACATCTGCAAAGCGCGGATGGCTCCTCGCTGGGCGGCTGCCAATCGAGACATCGCCCTGGACTGGAGAAAGTGGGAGACGCGGCTGCCGGGCAAGCACGGGACGGCCAGGCCCGCCCCTCCCCCGGGGCTCATGGCGACCAACCATCCCTGGACTGACCTTCTTAGTGTGCTTGATTCTGTGTGGACTCAACCTGTCCAGCTCCTCCTGGATTTCTTTTACCTATTCAACAGAAAAGAAAAAAGTGAGCGAGCAGAATGGGCCCAGAGTGCTGGCTGGGACAAGAGGGTCCAGCGGGAGGAGCCCAGGGTGAGCTGCGCAGGGCATCGGGGTGGAGCACACAGCAGGTGGCACTGCCGCCAACTCTCTGGGTCAGCTGTGAGGGACATGTGTGTGTGTGCGCGTGTGCGTGCACGTGTGTGTGGATGAGTGTGCACATCAGTGCACATGTGAGTGTGAGTGTATGGGTGTGCATACATGTGCGTGTCTTGAGGGTGTGTGAGTGTGCGTACGTGTGTGAGTGTATGTGTGAGTGTGTGTGTGGGGGGGGCTTCAGCACCAGCTTCTCTTACAGATCAGGAAATGAGGCCTCTGCCCCCAACACCTGCCCTGCCCGTCCCAAGAGAGAGCTCCTGTTCTAACTGTGTGTATGTGCTGAATCTTTGCACGTTTCCAGAGAAAAAAGGACCCAAAGTGCCGCGGACTAGCGACAGTGCGAGGTCCTCCCAAGGCCGGGGCTGTGCCGCCATCCCTAACGCCAAGGCTCTTCGGGGTCCCTGTCCCAGCCTCTCCTCAGGCTCTGCTCTCTCCTGCTGCCCCACGTCTCCCAGGAAGGAGGCCGCCAGCTTGCAGCGGCCTCCCGGTCATCCCCAAGGCGTGTTTCTGGGACGGACGAGAGACCAGACGCCAGAGAAATTCAGTCTTTGCTCTTCTGTTCTGTGTGCATCATGTGACGTCTAAATCCATCAAAGCCAAATCAGGGTCCAGAAGCCCTCAGGAGCTGGTGGATCAGTGGTGGGAGAAGCCCCGCCCCAGGCAGTGGCAGGAGGGTTGAGATCAGCGGGGTGTGCTCGCTGGGCCTTTGCCTGCTGTCAGAAATCCTCACAAGTGTGTTTGGGGCTCCTCCCCAGGCAGCCAGAGCCACTCATCACCAGGCGAGGTTTCCAAGCCGAAAGGGCCAGCCTCCGCCCCCACCCCCACAGCTTTTGTCCTTCCTGTATAGACTTTAGGTCTGGAAAAGCATCCACGTAGATCTTTAATGAAGACATCCCAGGGTCCTCCCATCCAAAACTGAATTCCTGTTCTGCCTCCAGAGTGGGTGGCCAACCTCTGCCCTCTGTCCCCTTTCCTCCACACACAGAGCTGCCAGCCTGATTCGGGCCCTCAACCCCTCTGACTGGACACTTGCGACAGCCTTCTGACTGGTCCTCCTGTGTCCAGACCACACACCACAGCGGCCAGAGCGGCCCGCTCAATAATCAACTCTTCTGTCTGGTATCTCAAGTCCCTCTGTCTGGCTTCGGCCCATCGTTCTGTACCGACTCCCTCATTCTCCCCTCGGCCATTCTCTGTACGTTCCAGCCACACTGGCCTCCGCGTGGGCCCAAGACAGGCCATCTCCCACCTCTGTGCCTTTGCCCGGGCTGCTCCTTGTCGGCCTCAAGTCGGCTGCCACCATCTTCCTGGGGAGGCTTTGATCGTCCTCCATCTTCCAGGTGTCAGGTGCTTCGCACCATTTGTTTGACTCTCAGAGCTGCTTGCTGTGGCTGTCCTTGCGTTCTCTACTCATGGTTCTAGGTCAGGCCAATGGAGGCCACCTCAGGAGGCCAGCTGAACCCAAAGAGGCTCACCTCCCTTTGGCTCTCAGCCCACCTCTACCAACAAGGCCTTTGCTGCGAGCCGAGACCCCCGCCTCGGGCGCATCCTGTGTGTGAAGAAGGGGCAGAATCCAGAGCTCAGCAGGAGGCACAGGCTGGACAGCAGAGTCCAAGGTCCACCCTTCTAACGCCCACTGCCTGGCAGGGAGCATGTGGGGTTTCAGCGCTCACTCACAGAGTAGAGGAGGCACAGCGGGCCATACGACCAGGCCGTCGGAGAGAATCCGGGGGCTCCCTGGCCTTCCCGGGAGACGCAGAGGACGAGGGCAGCGCCCCAGTCACACGGGAAGAGAAGATGGGCAGGAGGGAGGGGGCTCCCCCCTTGGGGGGGTCCTCCCGAGGGCTCTCGCGACCAGCTCCCAACATTCTTGTGGTCAAAATGATGGGGTCGGTGTGGACAGCACCCTCCTCAGATGCTGCTCGGAGGCAAGACGACCAGTGACCATTCGTAAAAACACCCCCCTCCTCCAGTCTCCTCCCTGAAGAACTCTGGCTGGACACCCTCGCCAAGGTGCCCTCGCTTCTCCATCCCAAACAGAGGAAGCAAGGGCAGACTTCTGGAATCTGGGAGTGAGTCCTACTGACCCCCACACTTCTCAGTCCCCCAACAGAGCCATCAGGGAGGGCGTCCCGGGGCCCAAGTGGTTCTGCGGGCATTTGGCCCATGAAGAAACCAACCAAGTCCCTTTCTGGGGGAGGGTGGCCACACACAAAAGAGCACCAGAGGACTCTATCTCAGACCCTCCCAAGTCATTCCTCGGACACTCGGTCCCCAAAACCAGATGTCCTCAGCCTGCCCCGCCCCATCCTCGGGGGGCCCTCAGACCTCTCTACCTTCCCCACATCAGACGATGCTTCTTTCTCTGACACAGGCCCCCGCCCCTTATAGCCTCACATCCCATGACCCCACTCTATGGCTGCTTTCCTCTGGCCAAACTGGACACCAGGCATTCTCTTGCCTCCACACCTTTGCTCAAGGCGTTCTCTACCCCTAGAATGCTTCTCCACCCACTCTGACGGCTGCTGAAATCCTACCCATCAATCTAATCTGTCCCTGGTTACCTCTGAGGCGCCATGCCAGGCACTGAGGATACAGACCAAAACCACCTACCAAACGTGCTCACTCATCTTACGCCGAGAACAACTACACAAAGAACGAGGGAGACACATGGAAAACTTCACAGGCCCACTTTTCAATACAAATGGTTCCTCACCAACCTTCTTCTTAGGTCTTTCAAGACTGAAATGTTTGCATCTGTTTGTGGCAGGTAAGTTTGTAATAAGAAAGAAACTAAAACTTAGAAAAGCTCAGGGCAGAGGAGACAGTAGGAAAGGGCCACGAGAAAGGAAGGAGGAAGCCTTGGGTTTGAATCCTACCTTGGAGGCTCCCTCCCTCTATGACCCTGGGGCAAGTCACCTCAAGTCCTTTCTCTGTAAAATGAAGGGGTCTCATGCTTGTTGCCACCTGGGGCGGAGGAAGCAGACTTGAGCAGGGTGGGGCAGGACGAAGAGGGGAGGAAGAAGCAAGAGGGTCTGGAAGAATGGGGAACCGAGCCCTTAAACCTGGGGAGGGGAGAGGCAGTCCTTAAAAAGTCCCCACACCCCAGCATTTGGTGAGCCAGCCCGCCTAGGGAAGGAGAGGAGAACGAAGGGCAGGCACCATGAAGGCTGCCAACAGGCCCCGGGAGGTGGGGAAGCCTGTCCCTACCTGCTGCTGGAGCACATAGAGTGTGCGGGCTGTGCGGACGGCCTGCTCCTGCCTCCGCACACGACTTCGCTCAGCCTCATCTGGATCCAGGCCTTCCTCCAGTCTGTCTGAAAGGAGATTTTCCTCAGCTGGATGGGAGGCGGGTGCCAAAGCTCCAGAATCTTTGGCGAGGCCCCAGATTATGAGGCCACACTGCTGGGATTCCGCCCAAGCATTTAGAGGAGGAGGTGGCCCCAGCGGCCCTGCCGCCAGCTAGCTGCTCCCATTCCTGTCTGCTCCTTCCCCTCCAATGCCCCCCCGGGACAAGAACAGGACTCCTGCTTGGCTGGGAGCCTCACCACCTGCCTTTTTCTTGAGACTTCCCTCTTGGAAATAACTTTGCTCAAGCTCTAGGCAGGGCATCCTACAGGGAAAAGCCCGTGGGGGGAAGGGTCCCCAGGGGCCCATCCATCATTAGGCCCAAGCAGGTACCCCCTGACCACACTTTGGAATCCCTCCCTTTGACTCCATCCTTATTCTAGGGTTTGGGAAAGGTTTCTGAAGAACGAGATAAACCTGGGCCAGTGGGTGGGCAGGGAGCTGACCTTGGGGAAGACCTCCCTGCCCCTGCCGGGTCTGAGCCTGGCTCGCTCACCTTTGGTGGCCATCCCTTCGATCCTCTGGAGACAGGCGCTCATCTCCTTCTGCAGCCGCCGGAGCTCAAGCACACTCTGAGAGGGCACTACCTTCGGGGCATAGGGCTGAGGGCCCGGGTCCCTCGTGGGTGGAGACCTGCACCCAGGGTCCCGGGTCAGGTAGACTTTGGCCCTGGTGCCAGCCGTCTCCACCTGGGAGGTACGCTGCCTGCCTGGGAAGGGGCCCCGAGGTTTCTCGGTCGGCTCCGTCCTGCTCCGGCTGCCCTTTGCAGGGCCCTGCCCCATCACCAGCTCTTGCAGTTGTTTTTTCTTGACATCTCTTTTGGCCAAGTGGACAGCCAGGCTGAGTTTCTCTTCAGATACAAATGAAAAGGGGATCGAGGCCCGGTGGTAGGGGTCCTCCAGAAGCCCAGGGGCGCTGGCTCTGTCTGGGGGCCTCAGCTTCTCAATGACAATGGGGCGCGGGCCTGAGTACCTGATGGCCAGGTTGTCGGGCAGCGAAGGAACGTTCCTGTTGAACTGCAGCTGGCGGGGGGAAGACAGAACAAGGTCACATGTGTTTGTGTGCCTGTGCATGGGTGCATGGCGTGGGAATGTGCATGCTCTGGGTGCACACACGTGTGTCTGTGTACCTGTGCGTGGGTGCACACGCGTG